CACACACACACACACACACACACACACACCTGAATGAATCACAGTTTCTGTGAATGATCCTGGTCAAATGATAGGATGACAACATCACTCTTCACTAAATATAGAACATAGACCATTGTGAAAGAAGGAAAACATGACGTCAGTGTGTGTTAAGCTGCTTTCAGATAGAAAATGTACTGAGAGGGTTCGCCATTTCACATATGTAGAACACAGCAGGAGATCTTCCAGGTCAGAAGCGTTCACATGAACCTGAAAATGTCAGAAACATCCAGGCGATGGGTGCTACCTTGGCAAAGCAGCAGGAGGCAGGACATGACGTATAAATTCTGCTGCGGAAATCCCGTGTTTTTGTTTTCATGTCGGCCCTTATCACCAAAAGCTCTATTTGTATTCTTCCAGTTTAGCGTCCGTCATCGTCAACACACCCACTTGATCGCTGTGAATTTCTGACCTTCTGGAAATCGTCTGACGCAGCTGACTCTGACATTTGCGTTCTCACATACTCTGGGAAATTTTAGGAAAATGTCCAGATTTAAGTGCATGTCTGAAAGCAGCTTCACTAAAAGAGATCCATCTTTATCTTTAGAAATAGATTCAAACCCAATAGGGAGCAAGAGACAAACGGAAATACAGTTTGCAGATTCACGGCAGAATCATGATGAAATCTTTCTGCTCTGCTGGAGAGAGGAGACATAAGCCAGCTCGTCTGTGATCACCGACTCAGCACATGAAAAATGAAACGCTACATCTCCAGCTAATTCACTTACATAAGAGCCTCAACTGGGACATGAATTTTAAAAGCACAGTGACAGAGAGAAATATAAAGAATAAATACAGAGAAGCTTCCAGGTAGGAGGCAGAGAAAGTAACTCGGAAAAAATGTCCATGTATTATCGTCTGTTCCAAGTGACGGTGCTTTTTTAATTGGTCTATTTCAGCCAAATAAAAAAAACAGTACAGTACATTAACGTGACATAAAACATAATCTCGGCTGCAACTATTCGAATACGCTTCAGGCCAATTTTTTTATATCACAGAGCATTTCTCAGACGCGCTGTGAAGACGTCTCCCACAAATCATCTCGCAGCCTTTAACACACACAGTCACGGGGAGCAGAGATTTAGTAACTATGATCAGCGCTGCAGCCGACAGAGAAGGGATGTAATTCTCCCGCAGTATTTCTGGAAACAAGCCACTTTAGTTTCAAACTTGAGCCAAGATGGAGCCAGGCTGATTTGCACTTAACTCTCAACACGTCAGAGGCATCGCACTGGTTTCCAGCATGTTTTGTCAGTGTACATGTGTGTGTGTGTGTGTGTATCATGTACTGAGTAACAATGGAGAGCTTCAAACACACAAATGACACATTTTGTCGTTGACACACAATCCACCATCACTGCTTTCTTTAACGGGCCTTTTATCAGACTGACTGACAGCAGGGCATACAGCATTGACTGGGGGTCGATGGAAGCATTCTCTTCCTCTGACGTGCACCCTTTCACACACAAACAAAGTTAGAACGCTGTGTCTTTGTCCTAATAGTAATGTCATTTCAACAACACTGTATTCTGTATGTCCCTTATTTTACAGCCAATTTCCTGAAGACTCTGGATTTAATAAAAAAATGTGCTGATATTTACTCATTAAATATCAGCACATCAGCTCATTACTTTTAGCAAAGGCCTTTCTGGGCTGAAACCAAACTACGTAAGCCTTTCTAGGAAATATCCTGGTAATTTACAGCTGAACTGACAATTTTTATGAAATCATTCTGGGAAAATTTGCTGAAAACACAGGACCAGTTTTCGTGTGGCAGTGGCTGGCAGTGCAGTGTCATAGCAGGAGGTTTAAACGTCAGTCGGCTCAAACCTTGTTTATGTTTCCGAAGAATGTGCTTAAAGTCTAATTTATTCATTTTTCCACTCATCCCTGTTTGGGTTGAGGGGGGTGTGGGTGGAGGCTGAACAGTCAACTACATCTCGCTAAAGCTCTGGAGCGTTATTTTCAGCAATCCAACCAAATGTGAAGGATTTGATTTAAATCCCTCTCGTAACACGTTGCAGCGTCATCACATCACAGCAGCTGAAGATGCTAACTTCCTTCTGACTGTGACTTATTTGGGTCTCCAGGAAAGACAAGAGGCCGCACTGTGTCCTGGACTTTTAAGAGCGTAACCGCGTCAAGGTTTATAATTATCAGTCACAAGGCTCCAGTTTCCACAGACAGTGAGAGACAGGGAGACACCTCTGTGATTTCAGCAGCGACCCAGCTGCATGCAGTTTTTGGAGAGCTTCAGGAACATGCACACACACATTTGCACACACTTAAAAACTCTCACTTGAGTTCTCACCCAAATACACACACCCTTCAATAAAAACAACACATCTGTTCCCCTCAGTGGAACAACTGAGGCCTTGAAGATGCTTCCATGCATCTGCCAGAGGTGAATCTGACTCTGTGAGCGTGCATTGGGTTTTTTCACTGAAGCCATTGCTAACCTGGCAGGATGATTCAATTTATTACAGCTAATTATGTCAAGCGTAAAAAACACTGGAAGTTTCCCACAAGAGTCCTCACAGGGTCCACACATCTGCTTGGTTCTGTGGGCGCCTGCTCTCTGTGGCTGGATGCTTTTTTCAAATATATGAAAAACTAAAGATTTACATTTGAAACATTTACTGATTCGAGAACTATTATTTTACAGAATAAACAATACACGGAAGATGTGCATAATAAAACACGTTTTTACTGACTTTAATCGCATCTATATCTGGTTGAAATTGTGTTTTCTTTTTATTTATATGGTTAAACTATAACATATTCAATTTCAAGTTATTTCTTTGACATAAGGATTTGATAACGACAGTTTAGGATTTTTGCTGATATATATTCTTTATTCCCTGATGTTGGAATCAGCACTGGCCAACACAAATCTATTTCTTTCTGGCTTTACTTGCTCTGCTGTTTCGTTAAAGAGCTGCAACACTGGAGCTGCAACATGGCTGCCATACTGCAGCATCAGGATATCCCTCTGAGGGATTCAGCCATCTTCTGCTGAAAGATTTATAGAGGTCTTCTGATGAGCGACCTCAGCATGGATCCACTTAAGTAATCAATAGATTTATGAATATCTCTGAATAATGAAATTATTTCACTCTCGTCTGCTGTGGAGCAGACTGTGGGCACCACAGGTCCTCTTATAAATCCTTCTCTGTTCACACCCTCAAGGAAAGACTAGCAACACACACACACACACACACACACACACACACACACACACACNACACACACACACACACACACACACACACTCTTCTACCAACATTAACAGCAGGGAGTGGCGTCCCTCTGTGGCCTATAACACAGAGCAAAGTGAGAGAAGCAGCTTTCAAACAGCAAAAACAGCATCTCCTCTGATGTCGGGGCAAATCTATTGTTTACTCTTTTTGCGCTGATAGAGAACACAAGTGAAGAGAAGTATTCTCTTTCTCTGCATTTACAGCAGGATCCCATGACAAGGCCTGAAGCAGGAGGAAGTGTGTGTGGAGTAAATAGTGCTGGGTGTGATGTTTTCTGTGGCGTGTGTGTGAGTGTGTGTTACGCCGTCTTTGGTGACACAGGGATACCTTGAGACACCTTGTCCTCTGGCCATCGTCCAATCCTCTGCTGAGAGAGGGGCGGGGACGAAACCGTGTCAATCATGAGTCGTAGCACTGCGGCTGCTCTTCATCCCTCTGAGGAGATTTAAATAGAGACTGTGCTGCTCTCTTCAGATGTCAGGTCACACACTGACTGGACAGTCTTACAAAATGTTGCAGGTTAAATGTCTTGAACTGAGACAACAGAATATCTCAATGTGGTAGAGTGTGGATGCCAGTGTGGAGTCTGAGTTTAGTTAGACTCGGTCGGGTTCAGACAGAAAATTGTGAACCCAGCCGCATTCTACACTGCAGATATCCTGTGAGAATCAGAAACTGTCCTTGAATGAAAAAAGACGAGATGAAAAACCCCTTTCCATCATTTCACACATCCAAACAGAGACTCAAAATTAAATCTAATCAGAAAATAACACATGAGAGTCAATCAAGGCTTTGTCACGCTACAAAAGGGTTCAACTGAAAAAAGCAGGATTGCCGGTCTGTGCCAGGGCATAATTTAAAAAACAGATTTATTCAGGCTTATAGTCAATTATATATTTGCTTCTGTTCCACGTGATAAGTGAATAACCTAAATTACATGTGACAGACTGAACCATGTGACGGAGCTTATAGCCCCACCCACTGTTGTGTTGTTTACACGGCTGTGAATACTGGTCATCATCTCTTGTACGTGACTCTCTCTGGAGTGGAGTAGTTCCACACAAGACTATTTGCAGTTTGACGTCCACTCAGTCTCTGTGTGGCTGTAAAAAGACCAAATAATGTAGGATAGTCAATCATCATGCTCAACACTGTGAGAGAATTTAAATATAGCACTCTAAATACAATTATAAATAAAGCAGAGTATTGCAGGGGTGTGAAAGTCACAATTAGTCAGACCTGGGTTTCACATATTTGTGATTATGTGACCCATGAAAGTTGCAGCAGGACTTTTTTTTTCCAGTCTTAGTGTTTAGACTCATCATGCTGCAGATTTTCTTGCTCTTCGGAGGTAAATGACAAATCCTTATGTCACCATGTGGAGGAACAGGATCCTGTGTTTGCATGGTAAACATCCCATTTCATAACATGTTCACATAAGAAGCTGCTCATGGAAGAACAGAGCGAGATTCTATACTTTGACAATGACTCTATTTGTGATGCATCGGAACTCTTTAGTTGAATTAAGCTTTAATTCATTATTCATAATTTCTTGATTTAAAATCTGTAAAGAGCTGGCGTTGGAAGTGCAGCGGAAAAGAAGGAAAGGTTTTAAAAAATGGTTCATAGATAAGAAAATACTCAGCCCATAAGTAAGACCTTAAATTTATCAACTCAGACGGTGTCTGATCAACAGATCTACCAGTGAATATTTCCCTGTGTGCACGACATGACGACACTCCGTGTAAAAGTTAGAGGATTTACTGAGCGTAAAATCCAGACTGCTTTTGGGGAAATTCTGGATTTATGCATGATAATGTGCACGAAGAGAGTTTGATCATTAGTCAACTGAACGATTTAGATATTTGTCCATCAATTATCAATAGTTTCAGTTATTTATTCATGCAAAAAAGTCAAGAATATGTAAACCACATTAAAATAATTAGCTCTTGGGCTGTTGAAGTAATTTTTTTCACAATTGTTTAACATTGTATAGATTAAATGATAAATGCACAGATGAAGTGATGATGATAATCACAACTTGCAGCCTTACACATGTTCGATCATCCTGCTGAGCACCGCTGGGGGAGGAAGTCAGCATCTCTCAGCTTACTACACACGCCTCCACGATACCATCAGTCTATACCGATATCGGTTTACACATCACATAGGTTGTGTGTAACTGTGCGTACCTGCATGTGCATGTTTGTGTGAGTGCGTTCATTTGAGTGGGGAAATATGACACCCTGTGTCAAGACAGTCAGTCTCCAGTTTGGCAACAAGTGGGCCGCAGCATCGTTAATGAATGACAGAGAAAGGGATTAGATGGGGAGGCAGAGTGGTGTGTGCAAAGCGGGCAAACGTGCCCTTTTATCTAAATTCAACAGTCAATTAGTGGGTAAATATTCAGTTCTGCATGTGTATGAGATGCTAAGTTTACTCATAAATATCCATATCTGCATTTTCAGTGTTTGTGTAGGAGAGGCAGAGCTGGAGAAGTGATGTCAAACAGAGACGCACAGTATTTAGAGGTAATTAGGGAAATGTCGACATTATTCAAACACGTGTGCATAAGGAATGAGGCTAGAGTTTGGGACTTAATGTCGAAAAATCTTCCTCAGGCTTCATGCTGTTGGGACACGCATTCAACATGGCAAGCTACTGTGCGTCGTCCTCACAGATGTGACAAGAGAAAATACTTCTTGGGTTGTCACTTCAAGCCAATCGCTGCCACTTTGCTCTGAGCGTGCTCTGCCATTTATAGGTCTGTAAAATGGGCCAAATGAGAGAGAGAGAGCTGCAGCAACAGTGACACAGGAAGAAATGTCTAACTGGAACACTGGAGAAAGAAAACAGAGCGAGAGAAGGAGAAAAGAGCTGACAAAGAATGAGAGAAAGAGGGAGATAACAGAAATACAGCATCTTTAAACTAGTGGTTGTAGCATTCTTTCTAAAACTAGAAATGTAACCTGCAGTAATTGAGCCACAGCAGGGAAAGGTTGGCTGCAGGACTCGGTCAATCGATGCCTGAGGCTGCGTCACCGCTGCCGCACAAAGGGCTGTTCACCTGTTTATTCAAAGTTAAGTATTAGTAGGAATTAGTAGGCAGATCGTAGGTAGTTGTGACTCTTTGGACCATGCGGACACCACAAAGGAAGGAAATCCCACCATATAAGAAGCACATGTGGAATCACTTTATATTCTCTTCCTCCTACATTTACACAACAGCTTTATCGCTTTTTTATAGAGTAAAGAATATATAGAGTAAAGTCAGCTGGTGAGTTTGTTTTGTTGAGTGTTAAATGTTCATTACTGGTGCTCCTGGTCTTTTTTTTTTAATGTGCTAATAACGCAAACATGTGCTCACATCAGCCCACAGCAAACATCACACACCTTCAGTATAGCTTTGTTCTCTTACAGTCAGGGCTGTTTGCACAAGGTTTCTGTTTAAGACTTAGAGATTTCAGGCCTAACCAGAAAACCTCATAACTCTGAGTGGTTCTTAAGCTGTGTTGAGCCTCTGCTACATGTAAAAGTTGTGCAAATTATTTTTCCGCTTTAAAAAAACGTGTGTTTTAAGCCCTTGGCTAGAGGCTACAGGTTGAACTGGAAAAAGCAATGAGAGTTGAAATTCTCATCTCCGTTTTTGCTCCCGGGAAGGTACGTAGGAGGAGAATCAGGCCAAGAGCTGCTGGCTTGGATTCTGCCGCCTGTCAGAAGAAAAGAGAGCCAACAATGGACTGAGACAGAAAGACAGAGCGGGACAATGCAGCTGCGGACAAAAGGCTTTTAAAATTCCGACTGAGCGTGAAAAGGCCCCAGCATCTCACGGTTAAATGACAGATTTTTGCAGATTGCCAAATTCCCATTCACATCCCTCGGCATCCACGTTTCAATAATCATGATTGTGTCTGAGCTGAGAGGCAGCAAATTAAAATCCTAGAGATAACGGAGAGAGAGACCATACGCTGTGACGTGTCTGATATTTTTTGCCAGACAAGTGTCGTCTCTTCATGAACTTGAAAATCAGTTGTCATGGCCAAATTGGGCTTAAAATCAGCCTTTATATTGTACAGTGCGCTGCAGGCTGAACACTGCTGAGTGAAAGAGGCAGGAAGAGAAAGAGGGAGAGAGAGAGAAATGGTCAGGGGATAGAGAAAAGGATATTAAGTGACATAAAAGACATATCACAGAAGGAGGGATGTTACCGAAGGGCATGCAGGGAGAGGAGAGAGGAGGAAGGGGAGGGGAGGCCCATTGCAACATGAAATCTGATATTCCCCAGGAGCCTACAGTTATCCAGTCCCTCTGCAACAAGCGGCTCAACAAATAACAGACGATAAAAAGGAGCCTGAGCCAGAGGAAGAAGCATAAAGGAAATTAAACTTCTCTTTACATCTGGTGACGTCTAACAAATTCTACAGATTCCGCTCTTCGGATCACAGAGCTTTTCTTTCTCTTCCCCTCCAGACTGAGGTAGCTGCAACACTGATCAGCAGCCAGTTTGAGTTTCTTATAGCATAGCTTCCTCTTTCAGCAGCTAACTAGTTATAATGTCTAGATACTAGATACTGTACACACACGCACACACACCTATACCTTTAAAAGCCTGTGCAGCCCTTAACAACTGCCATTTATTGAACAACCCATCCCTGCTGCCCAGTGCAGACACAGTCCAATAACAAAGAGCCTGAAGGAAGGAAGGTGAAACACACACACACACACACA